TTTCTTAAAATGTATAAAGTTAGTTGGAAAATTAACAGAGATGCGCTGGCGGATCCACGGAAGGGGGAAAGGAGTTTTCGGGATGAAGTTCTCCCCAAAATGGAAATATATATATATACCTTTTTTTTTTTTTTTTATGGTCCATATTTGCTTCAGTGAGTGATCCGCGAAAAATACTTAAACACTCACAATAGGCGATCTTTTTAAATCATAATGCATATACAGCTACTAAATGTAAGCACTCTTTTTATGAAAAAAACAAAAGAAGTTCTTGTAATAGCGATTTTTTTTTCTTTTCTGCGGAGACCTTCAAGGAATACTTAAACAACATTTTATGTAGTTTATTTTTTTCTTTCAGAGTAATTACAAAGAGGAAAACAAAATAAAATCCTCGATCCCGCTAATGCAACAGTGTATTGTATCATATAATGTTCCTTCCTTTTTCAGAATGTACATATTTTACATCAGATAACATACTACGCATATAATTTACATATTACGCACTCTATATCTGACAAAAAAAAATCAGCCTTATCCAATCCATGGAATGTTGTTACATGGGTTGTCATTATTTTTTTTAAGTGAGAATACTTCTTTAGGCATGCTTTGTACTGGTTTTGTTGGTAGTGAACGAGACTCAGCCGTCACGCTCTGATATGTAACACTCATTCGGGTAAATTTGGCTCTACTCGACTAATTGAAGAGTTTTTGCATTTAGATTAAAATATCTCAGAAACTAAAACTCGGATCTGCATCATATAAGCGAGGGAAATTTTAAGCATTCCATCCTTTATGTAATGAACTATAATTCAAAATTATATTTTGATGTGGCACACGATTCAGAGAATCGGAAAGGGAAAATATAGAGACAAAAACCAAATTATAACGAGTTTTGTTGAACATTTGGATGAAAATATCTCTGAAACTAAAAATCGGATTTACAAATCGTAAGCGAGAGAAGTTTTCAGCATTTGGTCCTCTTTGAATCGAGCAATAAATCAAAATTGAGTTTTGACGTGACGCCGAGTTACTGAATTGGAAAGGAAAAAAACAAATAATAACAGTTTTTTTTATATAATTAACAAATAGTATTCATCATATATTTTTGTTATCGTAAAGCTATTGACGATCGGTCAGAGCAATGTTTATTACAGTAATTTATACACGGCTATAATTGTATATATTGTAAATGTTATTCCTTTATGAATATAGAAAAAAAAATTTGCTATATATTATTTCTAAAAGGTGTTTTTTTTTGTCGGTACGCCATAACTCCGTCAATTCTCCATCAAATCCAATGATTGACCACTCATTTTGAAGATATTCTTCTCGTTCACATGCGAAAAATAGTACTATTACTCCGAAATTTCTGGAAAAAACGTTATGGAGGAAAAGAAACTTTATTTGATAATAACTCAAAAAGTATGAATTTCTTTCTTGATCATACCTATGATAGTTAGAAATATTACTAAATTACCTACGAAACAAAAAAATCGGACAATTATTGACAAAGATACAATCCGTTACTTTTGGTATACTTAATAATGTCTTCCTCTTTAAGATATTGTATTTAGGAGTAGAATAGTCTATTACACTTTTTTTCCTGGATGATATATTAACTTTATTATTTCTTAAAGGCATTTGTTTGTTCTTACATTTTATTTTTTTTAATAATTTAGAAAATCCCATGATGGGGGCATTATTTTGTCTTTATTAGTTTTATTATATTTCCGGTCAGTTTAAACATAGGTCCTAGCAAAGCAATTTGTACAAATATTTTGGCCTATGTTAAATGGAATATTGTAATCAACCAAGGAAAAAATATTAATTCCTTCCTTGCATAATACATAGGATCTACTTATTTCCATATTTCTTTGCTATTTCTTCACTAAAAAAAATTTTGCAAATTATACGCACGGACCAACTAGTATTTCATATTGTTAATCTCGCCTTGTTCATGTTTTCACTTCTATCGTGTGGTCTAAAGCACAGACCATAGTTTGTTTATATATATATATATATATATATATATATAACTTGCCTCAGGAATGCCCATCCATCCCCCAAGGTCAATGGCGTAAAAACCTACTTATCCCCCTCCTCCCAAGATATTTTATTGCTTACCTTTTCTTAAAAACAGAAGAAGCTAAGGTAGAATTTAAAAAAATTGTAGATCCTATATAATTACACTTTTGCGGTCTGTTCTATGTTTTCCCCTTGTCCCTTATTCCCAAAATTCGGAATCCCATCGAAATTTGCCCTCCCCCTCAACAATTCAAAAACAATGTTTTGATGGCTCAACTTGCGCCTTGAAATCCCCTTCTGGGGGGTACCTCTGACTTGCCTTCCAACTGACGTGTCTAATCGAACAGTTTCGACACAGGCAGGTTATTCTATCCATCTTGAAATACAAAAATGCATTATTTTTTACGCATGTACGAGAGCCGTAAAGGAAGCATGTACCTTATAGGGCAGTGGATTTGCAAGAGGAGATTTTTATCGGGTTAATGCTAGCGTGTCAGTGGAAAACCAGGCAATTAGCATACTATTAAGCCAGCTTGTTCTACAAAGATACACTCCTATCATTTGTTTTGCTCCTTACTCAATTAACTTCTTTCATTAATTGGACAGGTATCGCACTAATTCATCGATTTCTTAGCTATGAAATAAAGAAAATAATTATTTATGTTAGGTCTTTTTTTTTTCAAGTATTGAATATTTTTTTAAAAAATCTAGTCATTAAATTAATTAGAAAGAAAATGTCATGTTGAAAAAAGCAAAACAATAATACAGACTTTCAAACCGAGAAATAAGTGAAAAACCTAAACAAGAATTTTACTATTGTAAGCATCGTTTTTAAGAAAAGATCTATCAATTTTCTTGCGTGGGGTGGTCATGCGCCATTGCTCTTGCAGAGAGAGATGGTCACCTTTGGTATTGTTTTTTTTTCCGCAATACTTTTTACTGGGATGCTTTTAATTCTGGCATTAATTCCCCACCCTCTCCCCTGGCTCAGGAAAAACCCTTCAGCCGCAATGCAAGGAAGGAGAGGACAAAAAAATTCAATAATTTGTAATTAGTTTCAGTATACCATATAATGATTTAAAATAGAGTTTCTTAATAATTATAAACCTACATATTTATAATTTATGTACAAATAGAAAATATTCTTCCTCGACTCACACCCGAAAGGAAACAGTTGCAGGTCATAATAAATAAAAAGATGGAGTTTTCATTTTTAACTTTTGAAAGTTTCATCACGACTGCGGCTTGTTATTCAAATCAAAGTTAACATTTGCGAAACATCTTTCGAAAATAATTGTTGGAAAAAGAAATTTCTAAGTTTGCAGCTGAAATGTCTCTGTCTTCCGTACCTTCACCTATTGACCGCAACTTAAACGTGACATCCCACGGCCTTTTTACAATCATTATCGGCGTACTCGATAGTTGACTTGAAAAGAGTCGAGGTCTTCAGTATTTTATTTAATGGTGGATGTTATGGAAGTCCTTGTTTCAATATTAGACATCATATTGTTTTTAACGTTAATGTGATTGATACATATTAACCACGATCGTAAGTACAAAATCATAACTTCCTAAACTGTCGAAATCAAAAGTACAGTAATCAATATTTTTTAAGATCTCAATCTTCCCTTTAGGTTGTCTGAGTTTTTTAAAAAAAAAAAGGAGGAAAGGGGAGGGAAAATAATTTTAAAAAAAATGTTTAAATAAAATATTGTTCTGACAACCGATCTGCTGTTTCTAACTCTTTCTCGTTCACAGAAATTATAGAACCGTTTTCATTCCCTAAAACTTTTGATAAAAATAGCTGTAAATAAAAAGAGTATAAATCGTGTCAGAGACTGAAAGAATAGGACTCGCCATAAATGAAACAAAAAAAAAACTAAATATTTCGCTGCGAATTCTATTGGCGTAGGCCAGCTGAATGGCCGGGAGTATATTGATCACCTCAGATAGTCGATGGATTTATCTATCTTGGAGCTTAGCTGAACTCCAGGAACGGGATTAATCTTGTAATCCATCTGCGAATAATGGATGTGAATAGATGCTTTTATGGTTTTTAGGCGCACCTTCGCTAGAGGTCCAAGATCACCGGGGTTTATACAACTTTTACTAGGTCCGTGTTGAGTTATGAGGATCTAATTTCGAAGAAGGTCGACAAATGTTTATGCCAGGGTGGTCGAACAGAAGTGAGGTGGTCAAAGTTGCATTTGGCATAGTAAAGTGTAGTGCCAGTTAAGATGAAGAAAAATTATGGCCAAGCCTTTCAAAAAAAACTCTTCGAGAACGTTAACTTACATTTAAATGAATAAGCACTTCAAATCCAATGTTCTTGTACAATGCCTCAGATACCTCTGCTGGTGGGACCCAAAAGGGGGTTTTATGGCGCACATAATTTACATACAAAATTATAGCGGATAAAATGTGTAACAAGATTGATTTTATCTTTTTTTTTTTTTTTTTACTCTCTCGCCGATTTTTACAATAATTTCTGAGTTATCGCCCTTCAAAACCAGTGCCGGCCTTAGACATTCGGCTTCCCCGGGCAATGTCATCTCCCTCTCTAAAAAAATTAAAATTATTTCTTAAACTGTTTTATATCATGTAATATTTGAATTTTATTTCTTTAATGTAGTTGCTTTATTGATAGGCTGAAATTTATACGTTTTATATTTCTTTAGTTTCTAATAATTGGCAAGCGCCCCTGAAGGTCGGCCGGTACCCCCGACGGGCGCCCTCCCCCCCCAGTCGGACCTCGCGGCAATATCCCCATCGCTAAGGGGCACTGTTCAAAATTTATCAATTTTAGACAAAACTTTCTGGCTTATTTTGACTAGCAATCTCTTCAGAACTTAGTGTCAAATATTATTTTAGAAGTAATTTTTTAAATTATTTGCATATATATACCCATATATATATGAAGTAAGTAATGATTGCACACTCAATAAGATTTAAATATTTTTATATTTTTTTATTAGGAAAAGTATGAGAAGATGGTATCAGGCACAGATATTGTGGAAAGTAACTTGCACAGAAATCTACCTGAACATCTCAACTCTGAAATTGTCCTAGGAACAATCACAGACATAGCTGTTGCAGTAAACTGGCTCCGATCTACATTCCTATACATCAGAGCTATGAAAAATCCTAGGCGATATGGCATTCCTGAAGGTCTCCCTCATGCGGAAATGGAAGCTCGCTTGCAAGGTACGTGTATCAACGTCTTTCTTAGCATAGAAGCTTTAAGGTCAGTAAATTTAGCAATTATGCTGGCCACTTTGCTGATTTGCTACCTGCCTATACTGATCAGCTGTTTTGCAGCTATCTAAATATTTTACTTAAAAACTTTAGTTTGTGTGTGCATCAACAGTTCTAACTGCAATCATATCTCATTGAACCAATATTTCATTCAATATCTCACTATCCCCTGAAGGTAGACTTCAATCATTTTTTTTTCAAACCACTATATTTTATTTTATTTATAATCCTCTAACCTTCCTACTCATCAATTCGGATTTCGTTCCCAACATTCCACTGTCAAGCAAGGACTGCGAGTTGTTGACCATATATCCTCAACCCTAGAAAGCAAGCAGTATTGCTCGGGTGCATTTCTGGACATAGCGCAAGCTTTTGACCGGGTATGGCACGCCGGATTACTCTTCAAGCTTAAAATCCATCTACCACAGTCCTTATACCTAGTACTCCGATCCTATCTTTCCGACCGCTCCTTCCGAGTTCGCTGTGGCACCGAATTCTCCGACTGTTACTCAATTGAGGCTGGCGTTCCTCAAGGCAGCGTCTTGGGCCCCATCCTTTACATTCTCTTTACCGCTGATATTAACTATGGGGAACAGCCAAATTTTCTAACATCAAACGCATTCAATCCTTTCAGTCTAAAGTCCTCCGTACAATAGTCAATGCTCCCTTCTATGTAACCAATATAACCCTACACCATGAACTTAATATCCCATTTATTCTTGATCTTATCCCAGCCAAATTTTCCAAATTTCACCAGAACCTTTCTCATCACCCAAATCCCGTTGTACAATCCCTATCAAGCACCACCCATCCCTACAATCCCCTTCGTAGGTTAAAGCGGCAGTGGCCACGAGACCTTTTGTAAATATGGATATTTTGGAGTTCTAGCAATGGCCAGATTCTCCACTCAATTCATGAGTGTCTGTGGCTGTAGCGCTCTTACTCATCCTCCGCTGGTTTAAAATACCAGTGAAGTGGCTGAGGGAGAAGCGTAGGAATCTCCTAAGCCTCCCTTTTCCCTCCACATGTGGAGGGGACAGGATTGGTTCGGAGATCACCTGGCAAATTGTAAATAATGTATGCTTTATATAAGGTGTTTGTTTTACTTTTATTTCTATTTTTATTTACTTATGTGTATATATATATATATTTTTTTTCTTTACTCTTTTGTTCTTTCTTCTTATTCTTTTGTTATTACTTTATTTATTTATATTTTTGTATATACGGTATGAATGCAATGTCTGAACTCTATTATAAGTGTCCTTAAACTGTGACAAATTGTAATATTTCTGAATAAAGTGTTTTAATAATAAAAAAAACTATTATTTATGGCAGTGATCGACTTCCTTTATTTTATTTTTTTTTAGCCATGTGTATGAGAGAATTAAATGGCTTGGAAAAATATGAATTAATTAAGAAAACTGACTTTGCTTATAATGTTGAACCAACTGAAAACGGAAAGCTAATGGCAAGGCTTTATATAGCTTTTGATACCATGAAACTATTTATGAAGGTACCAAATATTTTAATTTTTTTATACTAAGTATCTATAAACACACTTGAAATGTTCAAAAATAATTATGTATGAATTTTATTTTTATATTTTTATTTATTTTTTGTAAAAGTTGAATTTAATTTAAAATAGTTATAAAAGTTTTTAATCACAAACAAGAACCATTTAAAATTTATTGAGCACTACATAATATAATGTTCTGACTTAACATTTCTAGCTTCTCTTTAAAGACTACAAATAATCATTAAAAATACACATTTCTTAATAGTTACTTCTGCTTTCAGTAAAACAAAAAAATTATTATAAATAATTTTATTAATTAAAGTAAAATAATTTTTCAATTTTCAATCATTTTTATTTATGTTTGGTTCTTCCTATGTGAGGGTTTTTTTTTCTATTGAAACTTTGATATAGTGCTGGTAGTAAAAGATACAAGTACATTCTAAAAAACCTCACTTGGCTGTCTTAAGTAATTCATTTTCACCAAGTGAATTCTTATTATTTAAAAATAATGTTTTGAATTATGTATTATTGTAAAAAGGTTTAATGACAAGTGACCTTCAAGAAAATGCTAGTTGACCAAAATCTGAAATAATTGATAAATATTTTAATTGTAACCTTGGTCATTATATTATTCAGAATTTTGTTTGCATGTATTTATTAAATGAAAATAATTATTTTTAACTGTTTTTAATATAAAATGTATTCATTTTGTTATTTTACCATCATTATTTTATTTTGAGTGCATTATTTTCTCTGTTTTAAAGATGAACGGTAAAGAAACGATCCCTCAGTTGCTGGAATTGATATGTCTGTGTCATGAGTTTTCTGACATTCATCTGAGAATAGATGAGAGAAGCACACTTAATCGCCTTAATAATGATAAGACCCAAGAAACAATCCGTTTCCCACTCAAAGGAAAAATAAAAACCAAAGAAATGAAAATTAATTGGTAAGTTAAACACATTAAAATATGATTTTTCATATTCGTTACATTAGCATGCCGACTGTATGTGTTCTCACATTTTATAACAGAATATTAACTTTAATTTAAATTATTGTTCTAATTTGTCATTTCTCCAGTCTTATTCAGGCATCATTAGGCTGTCTTCAGATTCCAGATGTTTCACTAGTTCAAGAATGCTTTAAAATTCTAAGACTAACCGAAAGAATATGTAAAGGTAACTTTTTTTTTTTATTGTACAACCACAGTATGTTTTTTACACTGTTAATACTTGACTTTACGATGTCTTTTAGCATTATCGCTGTACCTATGGCAAAGAAAATGGTATGAGGGACTTGCAAGTTCTCTCACTATTACTAAATCGATAGGAGCAAAGATGTGGGAAAACTCGAGTCATCTAACTCGGCAACTACCAGGCATAGGCCCAGCTCTATCATCTCTTCTAGCAGCTGCTGGGAAAACTTCATTCAAATCCATCATGGAGTCAAATCCACGAGACTTAGAAAGGGTATGTTTAGGAATAATATTTTTTTTTATTCGAATACAGTTAGAAAACTTTTTATAAATGATATTTGTAGCTGATCTTTTATTAATAATAAATAAAAACACCTACATATTATTGAATAAAATAAGTAATCAGCTTCCTTGTTTTATTTAATTATTTCATTTTATTATTATTTATTTGATTTTTAGATTATTAATAAACATCCTCCAATGGGCAACAGTTTGCAAGAAATGGCAAGATCCATACCACAGTATTCGCTAGAACTAAATTACCAAAGTTTTTCAAAGAAGTTATATGTTTGTTTAAAACTTATAAATTATGATAAAATCATTGATCCAAGTCATACATTTAGTTTACTTGTTGCCGGATGTAATAATGAACTCCTCCGGAAAGAGAAAATAAGGTATATATATTTAAATAAATATAAAATTAATATTATATGTTAATTTTTTATCTTTAAAATAAAAACTGCTCACTTATTTTAATAAATTTGTTTTAAAAGAAATAATACTACTGTAAATTACAGTTAGGTTGATCATATCAACTGTTTTTTTATAATATAACTAAAAATATAAGGTTGGTCATTGCACATATTTGCCCTCATCTCAACTTTTTTTTCATCTGCTCCATTTTGATAAATTAGATTTGAAAACAAATTATAAAAAGTTCAAAAACAAAAAAAAGAGATTTTTTTTTTTTATCATTCTTTCTTTTATTAGTGTGACATACTTAAAGCAATCCAATGAAGTTTTATCTTTTATGGCTCTGCAGATGTGATACATCTATTCTCAGTTTCATGAGATCTTTCTAGACGTTGTCTCTCCATCTACTTTTACCTACGGCTCGGCCTGACATCATATATATAGTTCCACTTACACTCTTGTCATTCTTTGTTCATCTATTCCAAACGTTCTTCTAATACTCCTGTTCTGTATAATGTATATAACATACGTTCAACTATCAGAGTCCATTTCCGTGGTCCTAGTCATTTCCAAAACTATTTTGTATATCTGAGGCTTGATGATTGAGGATTCGTAACAAGATAATTTTTTTTACAATAGGTGGACTGTCAACCCCTCTCTCTCAATAACAAGAAAATAGGACCACAAAGAAACAGATTTGCTGCTCGCACTTTGTTCTTAATTGATTAATTATTTACTCATTACAACAAGTAATGATTATAAATCAAATAAATTAATCAGGATGATAACTCTATACTGCATAAAAATCTATTTTAGTTTAGATTAAAGGATGAGGGATCTCCTCGCCTAATGTAGATAACACGGGAGTGAGGTGCCACTGGGCACTGATCCTCGTAATGCCTTTCATGACATTATATATTGTTTTTGTTTTTTTTCCAATCGACCTCACATTCCCTGGTTGTCATTACCATTATCACAGGTGTGAATAAAAAAATTAAACCAAAAAAAAAGGTTTAGATTAATTTTTAATAAATTTTGTTGGTTTCTCCACAAAATTAAATTTATAATATAGAATCAGTTATAAAACTATTTAATTTCTAATTTTTCAGAGATGCTGCTTTTATTCAACAAAAGGGAGAAATTAATTTTACTATTAATATACAACCTGAAATGAAAATAGAAGCTGTAACAGTGCATGTTATCAGTGAAAAATTTGGTAAAATATACAATCAATTTTAAAATTAGGCTCAGATATAACGTATACCTAGATTTACTTAAAAGATTTTTTAATTATTATGTATAATTTCAATTAATATTCAATTAAAACACCCACCACTAGGCATTTAGGATAAATAAAAGTTCTGAACACGTCTCAAATCTACTGAAATTTATTTTTGTGAAATCAGTTTTCTGTATGTTTCTCATTCTACTTTTAAGAAGTCTTACTTGACCTCAACTAGTCTTTACATCAGTAATTTGCACATATGTTGAAGAGGCACCGACATATTGTCCCATCTATGTACCGACATGCTTGTTTATACTTTATAGATTTTATTTTACAATAATAACAATTTGGTCCTACCAGATGGTAACATCTATTGGTCTGCGCCAATAATAATATATAAGATTTAAAAAACTTTACATTTTTTTTAACAATCTCAAATGATCATCTAACTATCTGTTGTGGATACAATAAAGTAAAATAAGAATAATAAATAAGCAAAAAGAATAAGATATAAATAATATAAGAACAATAATAAGGTATCAAGGCAGTGGGCGGGGTGGCCGAGGCGAGAAAGGGGAGGAAGCAAAAAAAAAAAAAAAAAAAACAGTATCAAGACATTTTTAAGATTATGTACATAAGAATAATATAGTTAATAATTGTGAATATATCTATTTCAGACTGAATTTTTAAGCTCTGGCACCATCCTTTTGATAATTATGGCCACTTTTAGATTTCAATGATTGATCTTATTATATTCTTCCTTTTTTGAAGGTTTGATTTGTTTCAAATATTCTTTCAGTATTTTATAAAATATACTATCATTCTCCAATATATATATTCATCTTAATTCTATTGTGAATGTTCTTCTTAATCTTTAAGAAAAAATAATTAAAATAGAGGCATTGTATCCAGGTTTATTTATATTTTAAAAACAAGAAAGGAATATTTTATGTTTAGGGTTTCTTATAAAAATAAAAATACTTCATTTTTTATTAGATTCTGAATAATAGGATGTAAACTTTGATTTAATTTTTTTTTTTTTAACTAAGCAGACACAAAAGTAAAAATTTCTATCCGAACCCCATATTTTCCAGTTGGTGTCGATGTGAAAAAAGTTGTAGCCATTTGTTCCCAATACCAATTTTTTTCAAAAGAAGAAGTTGAAAACCTATATTCAGATGAAGAAAGCTTGGTAAGTATTTTAAAATGAATTATTGCTTGACTTGTTATTTACCTATTTGGTAATGTAAAGTTATAGTCAACTCTGTGGAGTCCATTGTTATTTTGTCACGTTTGAGAGTTATAGGACATATTTTAATTACAAGTGGAACAGGAAAATTATGCAATATTTCTTATGGGAATGTATATTAAAAATCAAAATTTAAAAAAATAAAAAATGTGAAGTATAAGCATATCTGGTATCAGGAGATTGGGTGGAGTATAAATTTGATATGGAATTATTTATCCAAGGGATTACACACATCTATATATATATATATATATATATATATATATATATATATATATATTGGGTTAGCAAAAAAAATATATTCCAATTTCTCATTTTAATAAAAAAAAAATGAAAATATAAAAAGAATCAGATAAAAATGCAGCTCCTATCAATTCATATTTACTGACAAATTTCATGGAATGCACGTTGCAGAGGTGTGTTGTTTGCAAATGATATGGGAGGAAGTGTGATACTGTGTGAATAGTGCAAATAATATCATGATTAATTATGTACATTAATTTATTAATTACATACATTAGTTTAAACATTAATTATTTAAAGATCCAATATTTTTCAATTATTAACTATTGAGATTAATTAACAACGGGAGAACATTAGACCTTAAGTTATTCATGTATCCCACGAGCGGATCCAGGATTTAATTTTGGAGGGCTTTTTATTTATATGTATTATGATAATTACTTTGGAAGAAAAAGAAAGAAACTAAACGAAATGGGCTCCTAACGAAGTGATTCTTGAAGTCCTATTAATACTAATTAGACGAATAATAATACTTATAGGAGATAATATTTTTATATTTTTTTCATAAAACATGGTTATATTTTACCAGAGAGGGAAGGAGGCTTTCGGGCTGAAGCCCCTCTCCTCCTCTCCCCGTAGATCCGCATGTGATGTATACCCTACCCTGATTTCTTTAGTGCTGTTCATATGAATTTCAAAATTTTGGACACTGCCCCTTTTTTGATTTATTTATTTTAAAAAAATAATTTGTTCAAGGTTTCATCAGACAAGAGTTTTGATGAAAAATCAACTGCTGTGGTGACTGAAAATAAAAATTCATCAAAGAAACCTGCAAACAGACAGAATTTGGTGAAAATTACAAAAGAAAAGGTACTATATAATTATTTTTATGGAAAAGTGCCTAGGAATTTACTAAATTATTATTATAACTTAATAGATATTCTAAAAAAATGTTACTAAACTATTTCATCTTTAAAAAAGAGTAATGGATGGTTTTAAATGTTTATTATTATAAGTCGGAATTGAAGCAGTCCCATATTCTGTTCAAATTTTTGTTGTGTGATAATCTATCTATTAGTATGTCTTTTATCGATGTTTTTAAATATATTTGATAAAGACAATTCTAGATGTATTTATATAAAACTTCAAAATGGAAATTTTCCAATGTATTTATGTTATTCAAGTTATAGTCATTATAACTAATATACTTTGTTTACATTTTATTATATCTATTTATTTTAAGGTATGTAGCCCAGGCTATAAAGTCTTAAATTTATAAAGTTAAAAACTTGTAAAACTTTTATAAAATTTTTATATATATAAAAAGTTTATAAAATTTATTAAAAAATTATAAATTTATAAAGTTAAATTTATAAAAATTTAAAAAATTAATGTGAGAATTTTATAATTAATTTTTTTTTCAGGAAAAAAAACCTATCAAATCAAAATACCAAACTAGCCTACACCAATTTGCTTTTAAAAGTTCGCGCCAACAATTAAAACATCATGAAAAGGAAAACAAAAATTTTGATAATGAGGTATCAAGTACTCAAGATAATTGTGTGAAATATGACTCAACACCATCATCAGTTAATTTAGAAAAATCCAGCGATATTTATGTTTTGAATTCTAAGAATGAAAAGAGAATGAAACTAGAAATGGAATATAATTGGTATTTTAAACAGAACTTAGAAATTAATAAAAATAAAACCAACGATTATGATTTAGCACTTCCCTCAAGCTCCAACTATATTGTGCCTGGTTTACAAATAAATAATGATAAAAACTCCCAATGTTTTTTATCAGATCCCGGAAACAGCCAAATATCTAGATCAGTCATTCCAAAATCAAAACGTGAACATGGCAGTTTTGAGAAATCTCATCTTCCTGTGATTCAAAATACTCATAACTTCCAGAACACAACTTTCAAAGAAAATGAATCCCATTGCCTGCAAATGTCATCAAATGAAAAATATAACTCCCAAGTTTCTTATGATTCTAGTCAAAATATAAGTAATCAAAGAAAACCTCTTCAGTTATCTCCACGTCAATTTTTCAGGTCTGGTAAACATTTACCTCAAAAACCAAATGATTCTACAAAAAGGAAAAGGAATTTTTTCCCATTGTTTATGCCTCTTGATTATAAAGAAGAAAATATGGAAGATGCTTCTGTAGATGCAAATAAAGATCAGGAGACCCAATATAATGAAAATTTGACTTTGGAAACTTCAGCAAATAATGTTCCACTGTCACAAGAAAGTAAAATGAATCCAACAGTCATTAATGATGGAATAACCCTTAAAAATCAAGAACTTAGTAAGTATTATTTTAATTATTGTAAAAATTATTTATGTTGTTTTTTTTCTCAAATTTAAGTAACCTCTGACACAACTGTATTACATTGCTATATATTAAGTTGGCTCATAAGTCCTTTCATTTTTCAGGGTGAAATAAAACTCAATGTATTATAGATTGAATGTATTATTGTTATAAACATAAAATTTATTTTAATATATTGACTATTATTTAATTGACTTTTTCCATCTTTCCACTACATGCATAATGCCATGTTCATAGAATGCCTGGAGTTCATTGTTAAAAAACTGATCCAAGTGATTTTTGAGGTCCTCTTCCTTTTGGAATTCCTTTCCATTCATAGAGTTCTGTGTAGATCAGAATAAGTTGTAGTCACTTGGAGCTAGGTCTTGTGAATTGGGATAGTAGGGCAAAAGGTCCCATCTAAGGCTTATTATTAAGATTTGCATCATGTGAAAATTTAGAATTTTTTCTAGTTACTAGTTTTAGGTAATTTTAACTTAGATTAAAAACACGAGTAACTAGCATGCTTAAAGAAATTTCTTTGAAATTTTAGGTGTAAAAACTTAAATATTGATGTTATTGTATTCTTCTTGGATTTGTCTTATACAGGTACGTCCCAAATTGCCAATAGTCATCAAAAGCTCATCTCCTCTATTTCTAAAAAACTGTAAATTTAGAGAAACTTTTTGTTGCACCAGTAGCTGACACTCATTAAATTTTGCAATTCCTTTAATAATATAGGTTGAAAACACACAAAACATAATCTAAAAGCATTCCTAGATAAAATAAAACAAAAATTTTGAGATAAATCAAATTAGTATGAGATTGAGATATCAAAGTGATCAAATTGAGATAAATCAAGATCTTATGCCCTTGTCTGATAGATCTGATATAGATCTGTGTTCCTGGTGTTACTAATGGTTAGGGTTTCTTTATGAAACAAACACAGACAATACAAAAACGTTTATTGTGGAAGAACACTACAAACATAAAAGCCATATCAAGGAAGTATATATTGTTGTGATTACTGATGTCACATCTGACAGTGTTGTAGGTAGAATATACAATAACAAATAACATCAATTAATTAATCTTAACACCTGGGACACCAAGTGGGCAGTGAGGGACAAAATAGGAAGTTTGCTACTCATTCTTTCAGTAACAGTTCCCGGCGAGACTTAAGCAAAGCAGATAAATATACAAGAAAAAAATATAGAAGCCACAAATTCATGAAGTATAGGTCTAGGAGGTCCTGAAATCTTATTATTCCCATTTTTCAAGGAAGATATCAGGTGTTGGTGCATTGTCAATTACAGGTGCTTTTACCATAGTTTAGTGTGCATTTTATCAATTTGTTTTTACACAACATCACTACACGTGTTAGTGTAATTATTACAGACCACCTTACAGTACTATCTTCATTTGGTGTCCAATAAACTGAATATCTCATGTTTGAGAGGATAGATTTTTTCATTAGTTAAACAGCTGTTCAGGAATAGTATAGTAAATTTTAAAATGCCAATTGATTTTTTTTTTTGTTATCTTTTCAAAATCCTAAGAACAATTTCAGACAGATGACTGATAGTCCTAGTGGTGTACCAGTCATGCCTAGAGTGGATGCATTTTTGAGGCTCCCTAAAAAAAAATAGAAAATCATAGGTTGTTCCCTCCTTAGTTAATTGGGACAAGCCAGCAATTAAAAAAAAAAAATCATCTGATTAAAAAAAATGTTACAACGACAATGTCATTAAAAAGAAAACCCTGAAAAACCTAAAAAATTCCTAAAAACATTAATGCTCTTGTCTGACAAAAGAGTTGGTATTTGTGTTATCTTTTGCAATAAAGTTAACATTTATTTAAAAAAGGCTGCTTTGGTTGTAAAGTTTGGAGTGAATTGCCTCTAGCTCTAAGGTACAGCAGTGATCTTCTCTGTTTTAATATTTAGAAGAGAAGTTTTGATCATTTCCTTTGATTGATCATTTTTATCCATGGTTCTGCAGAGGAGGAGGCATTGTCATTGGTCTCAAAATGGGGGTTCATTTCCTTGGGTCTCTAGATTTTGATATGCTTGTAAGGAATAACATATGGCTTACGACCCTACCTCAAGCACAACATTGTTGTTAATTCCATAGGCCTTAAGATGTTGTGTCATTGGTTTCTTTGTATTAAAACATTGATTCAACTTTTTTACTCTAGTTAGTGTAGCTAATGTAAGTAAAACATCAATATCTATTTTCTTTTTAGTAAAATCTTAAAATAAAATTTTATGGTAAATAGATCTTTTATTATTAATTTCGTTATGCCTATATTTTCATTTTATTTTGTTTACAGTGTTAAAGCCAGTAGTCACACAAGATTCAAAAAAGAAAGGAAATATAACGCATGTGAAGAAAGGAGATATAAGAATGTTCCAGAAGACTCTAGATAAATCTAATAATACTATTGATTCAAATAAAACTGTGTCATCAGACATTTCAGTTCAAGCATCTCAACAATCCATGATTGAAACACCAATAGAAGTTTCTCATCAAAATATATCAGAAAATAAGGAAATAAGGTTGTATGTTAAAATTTCTCATCATAGAAAAAAATATATATATAATTTTTTTTATATTTCTAGCAATAAGGATAACAAAATACTAAAAATGAGGGAGGGGAGATTTTTTATAACCTAATAGATAATTGAGTAAAAGTTAACTTCATATATAACAGAGGGGTAATTTTCAATAAAAAATTCTCCAAGGCCAAAATAGGTTGTGGACGGCGTGACCAAATGGGCCAATGCATGTGTTTAGTACTGCCATTGTCAGGCTACCCGATATATGACTCAAATGATATAAAAATAGTCATGAGGTCGCGTCCCGATGCCGGGGAGCCTTTTAAATCCCCGCTCTCATCCCCTGATCCGGGAAAACCCCATATAGGCTTAAACGCGAGGAAGAGGAGGACCCAAAAATAAATAAGAAATAAAATAAAATAAAAAGTCCAAAATAGGATTATTTAAATTTCTGAATAAAATTCGTTACATAATTTTTTTTAATTATAAGGTAAATTAATTATCTTATGAGCCTCTCTTGTGAATGAATGACATAGTCCAAATCCAATAATAAATTTTGACTCTAATGATAAGCACTTGATTGAAAAATTTAGAAATTAGAGTTAGTTATTCTACCAACTGTAAGGCTTTTATGAATGATTTAATATAGTAGTACTGTACACAATTAAAATATAGTTTTAAAATCTCTTCCTCTGAATCAAAATTATAGTCTTATCATAAAGGAAGGAGATGGTGCGGGATGGCGGTCATAAATAGACTAAATAGTAACGAAACTATTTCATTAAAAGCCAATGTTTCGACCCGACTTTGCAGGTCTTCTTCAGGGAGGTGTGTTCAGCCAGGAGTTTCACTTAGAACTGAGAGTCCTATCATATATTGTTCATTCTTATAAATTTTTAATATTTATTTTCACAACTAAATATGGATTGATTTTATTATTAATCTTCATCTCAGTATATATTTGTATCACATACTTGATTCATTTGTTGTAAATTAATTCAACTTCTTTTTTTTTTTTTTAGTTATTCTCAGTTTGATGACTTATTTTATGATTCCCCACCTGAAAGAAAAAATCAAGATGTTATTGATCTTTGCCCATCTTCGAGTGAAGAAAATACCAAGGAAACTAATAGATCTTTAAGAAGGTAATCATCCGATGCAGTTAATAGTCGTATATGTATATTTTCAATGGTTTTTTTTTTTCATCTATTTTAATTTCATAATATTTTGATATTTCCAGTTTACAGGTTGATGTTGATATGTCTGAAAAAAATGTCAGTGATGATTTTTCTCCAACATTTGATTTATGTGATTTTACTAAAAAGAAGATAGATTTTGGTAAAAATATTGATGAAGGTGATGAGTTACCTTCAGATGAAACAGATTCAGAATCAGATATCGATTCATTATGTGAAGATTTGAGACCTGAACAAAAATCATTGAGAAGTGATTATGGAGATCCATTTGCACCAGTTCATGACTCTGCTACTCTCCAGAGGTTACTTGAAAAGTCGAGAAAAGATGATGCTCAAGAAGAAAATCTTTCATGGCATAATAACCAACGATGCTTAGAATTTTTAAACCAAACTGGATCTCATGAAATTATCCATGCCGATGATTCAGTAGACGGGAATAAAAACCTTTCCACGCAAAAAAGTTTTGCATCTTCTGAAAATCATTATGAAAAGAAATTTTGTAGAAGTGATTATCTACAGCAAGATAATCCAGATGATAACCAAACATTATTGTCCGAGTATTTTCATACAAAAAATTCAGATTTGAAAAATCCCTCAGTTAAACACTTTTTTCAAGTTCAGAAAGAATTGGATTACAAGCAATCGCTTCCATTTAAATATAATTTCAATCAAAGAAATAATTTAGCCAGTAAAATTCCACACTGTATGGCTGTAGCACAACCTACCAAAGAACACCAGGCTGAAAAAGTTCCTTCAAAAATTACTTATAATGCTCATTCATCTCATAAACATTCGGTTATCTTTGACAACGCTCCTTCTCCTCAGCAAATAGAACAATTTAAAAAAAACATGTTTCAAAATTCAATATTTTCTCAGAAAACACAGGCTGTGAAAAATCCAAAATCTAGCGTTCCGGAAGGTCCCTTACCGAGACTCTCTCATCTTCTTTTTGACAAAAAACATTCACCCCGAACACCACTCAACAATTTCCAGACTGCTTCTAGTCTAATGAAACCAATGTCAAATCCTTATCATTCCTGTCCGCAGAGGAGAAGTGAAGAACATTATAAAATAAAAACCAACTTAAATCATGAACAGAGGAGTCCTATGCCAACTAAACCAAAATTGGTATCTAGTGAGGAAACTGCAAGAAGTGTAAATTCACCTTTAAATTCATGGCCCACTTCAATACAAGATAGATTTCCTACGAACATGGCAAACCAGGGGTTTCTGAATTTCGCTACTCAGCAAAACCCTCTTTTGCAGCCATTGATTGTACAGGAGCGACACTATTACAATATTTCTGCATGTAATCATGACAGAAATAACCAACCTAAAACACCAAGCAGAAATATGAATCCTGAATAAGTTTATTATAAATAATAATTACCTATAGTTTTATTTTGTGAGAACAGAAATAATACAGTTCTAAATGAAAATAGCTCAAAGATAGAAACACCAATGGAACTTGAACAGTCTATTCCTAATGCTTATTATAATACTTTTTTATTTATTTATTGTAGCTTATGAAATATTGAATTAAATCTAATAAATTTTTTACTTGTATTTATCTGACATACCTCAAAATGAAAGTTAAACCTTTCTTTTTACTCAATAATTCCAGTACTGTTTCTGTCCTTTCTGCATAAAGTTAAGCAGAACATTATCCTAATTTTTCACTAAAATATCAGTATTTGTTGAAACTATTTTTATTAATTAATGAATCCCAAATGATGCCTTTATTTTTTAAATCTATAAAATGTAATTATGCCTTGAAAAATGTAATATTACCTTTCTACCAATGCATAATTTATTACTTTATACATTTATAAATATTTTTATCTCTTTTAATAATTTTTTTTACACATGTATTTGTTCCATGATTTTTGTATTAAATAAAGACATGCTTTATTATTTGTGCTGTTTATAGCTCCCTTATTTAGTCAAATGAGGGCAGAAAGTTCTTCTGCAGGTTACCTGATCCAGACAAAATGAGAAGATATTAAATTTGGTTTAGGGGAACATGGTGACTCAGTGGGACTGCTAAATCCAAGGGCCAGGTCAAAATGGTAAATTTATTTTCTAATCTATGAGCCACAGATTGATCCAGACACAGAGGCAGGGTGGTCGAGCAGGCTAAGCGGATTGACAGCACCACATTGCCTGATGACCTGATGGAAGATAATATGATAAAATAATTATAAGTTCGTATTCCTGTGACGGGGGAAAGGAGAGGCTTTTAACTCTGGCATTAATCCTCTGTCCTCACGTCTGGCCTGGGAGAACTCCATGTAGTCTAAAAGACGAGTAAGGGGAGCTCAGAAATAAAAGTTTATCCGGACAACAGACCATACTGTTTCATATCCAAACTTAATTAACCCAATGTATCTCATTTTTCAATGAGTTGAAGAAAAAACATGGAAGTTAATCATGATATTAGTCAGATCACTTTATTATATAACTCTCGATACTATATTATTTAGTTTCTTGAAACAATATTATATGGTTTATCGAAACATTATTATTTGGTTTCTTGAAAAATTATTATTTGGTCTCTTGAAACAGTAATATTTGGTTTCTTCAATTTGTATTGTTTGGTTCTTTGAAACAAATCTTTGTGAAATAATGAAAACAGGAACTTCATTTATTGTAGTAGGGCTTTTATTTCATTAATTTCAGGAATAAATAAATCATTTTCAGAATAAGCTAAAACATAATAATACTAAAATGACTTTATTTCTTATACTTTAGATTATTTAATTATCATTCATTTCTGTGAACATAAAGGAAAGTTGATAAGGGCATGAAGCACTAGTAAGGCACATTCATACTATATATACAATACAAAATAAAAAATTAATTAAATAAAAAATAGTGCATAAAAAAAATGACTGTTTTTCAACCAAATATTTGTATTATTATTTCTTTGATATAAAATACAATTAATACTCAAAGTACAGTCCATTGTTATCTATAGCCATTAGCCATCTTTTAGCCAATTGCTCGATCCCACACTGATACCATTCTTTGGGATGGCTGTCAAAGAAATCTTGGACTGCAATTTCAACTTCCGCATAATTATCAATTTTTTTCCCTTGAAGAAAATGGGCCATAGATCTAAATAAATAGTAATCCGATGTTGCGAGGTCTGGACTCTATGGTGGATGAGGTAAGAGTTCCCATGAAGTTCATAAACTTTTCTTTGGTTAGAAGGGAAGTGAGGACGAGCATTATCTTGTTGGAATAAAATTCCTTTTCAGTTGACTAAAGCAGGATAACGCTCTGACAACTTCGCATACAATTTTTCTAGTTGTTTGCGGTAGAGTTCAGAATACATAGAGTATCCATCAGGAACAAATTCGTGATTAATAACACCTTCAAAAAATGCAAAGCAAGGAGTTATTTTTTCAAATTACCCCTTGCAGCAACCTGAAAAGCTGTTTGACTGCTATCTAGCCATTGTTCACAGGTATTCGGATTTCGCCAAAAACCCATTTTTCAACACAGGTAATAATCTTCTGGTAAAATCTCATATCAGAAGGGTTTTTCAATCAAATTTTCACAAATTTCTAACCTCTTAATTGGTTGCTGAGGAGTAAGTTCGTAAGGGACCAGTCTACTGCTCTTTTTCACCTCCCCCATGGAGAGTAAATGGCGACTAATATTATCTTTTGACACACCACACTCCCTGGCAAGTTTGCGAGTACGTGTGGATGGATTTGACCCAACAGCTTTCTGCAGAATCTCATCAATATCCATTAATGGTTGGCCGGAGCCATTCTTCGTTTCCAACATTGTATCTCCAATGCTAAATTTTTCAAACCAACGTCATGCAGTATGCTGGTCAAGGACACCTTTCCCTTTATATTTAAAAATTTCATGGGATGCTTCAGCGGCTGTGAAATTTTTTTTCCAGCAATGCCTTAAAATTATCAGAATTTTGTAGGACACTGTCATGTTTCTTCTTTGAAAAAAATAACTGATGCTTTTTTTGAAGAAGTCAAATGGAATTAAAGAAGCTTAGAGAATGCTCTAAAAGGGTGATTAAGTAAGTATTGATAAGTATTAAATATTAAAATATTTAATCATTTAAATATTTATAATATATTAATGATATTTATATATTATAATATGATAATATGATATTTATTATATCATTATAACATTAATCATTTATTAAATATATTATAATATGATATTAATATTAATATTAATATATTTACAGTCCTTTGAAATCTTGAATTTGATAAAACGGTCATTTTTTTTATGCACTCGTATATCATATAACAAAAACTAATGAAAAAAAAAAAGTGTAACAAATATGAAACTGAAAAAAAAAAAATCTTTCATACTTAATTACAGTATGTATACATTAGAAAATGAATTCTTCTGCAAGTTGAGAATTTGGTTTCTTGTCCTACAAAATAGGTTCCATAATTGGAAATTGAAGTGAAACAAAATATCTCTTTTATTCATAAGAAAAGAAAAATTTACACTGTACAAATATATATAAATTAAACTTCGCTAATTACAGAATAAAAAATTTACATAATGTGATTTTTATACAAAAATAAGAAACTTAAAAACAATCTTTGGTAACATTTTCACGCTATGAATACTAGTTAGACACATCAATGTTTGATAGAGTAGTCTGTAGGCCTCAAATCTAGAAGTGGTGGAGGGGGAGGGTAGAAAGGTGGAGGATAATAAAAGGCAGGATAAGGGAAATACGGTGGGAAGGGCCAGAATGCCGGAGGGTAATAGGGCGGAGGCGGAGGTAAGATAACAGATTCTTCAACAGGAGGTGTAACGGAGCCGACCGAGATACCACTATCATCTTCTCCTTTGATGCAAACTCTTTTGGCTCCTGAAAAAATAAAAACAAAGGTAAATGATGATAAAGAAGTATGTATTTGGGAAATATCAATACTTCTAGAAATAAAGAAGAAACATTGGCGTATTTTAAATTTTTTGATTTAATAATAAGATATAAAATTCACTAAAGTTATGAATATTCTAAAAAGAAAAAACATAAAAAATAAATTAAGTCATTACATTTAAACATACTGTTTTATTAAATTTAATGATAAAAGAAATCATCTCTCTTGACCGCACTTCCAACAAACTTCTTATTGATTGTATTGGTATGCAATATCTCCACTATTATTAATTGAAATAAATTATTGTTGTTTAACTTAATATTAATATTTCAATTTGAATTCAGAGACATATCTTACCTGTAGTTTTAGGTGTTTCGCACTCTGGAGCATTTGAATTTGCTATCCTTGTCCTGTCTTTACATAAATCTTTTATTGGCGATAAATTTTCGTCAGATTTATCACCTGAACTGCTAGCGTCATCTGAAACGTGAAAAGAAAAAAAAATTTCTTAATATTTTATCTAATGCTTTCATCAATATTTTTATACAGTAATTAAATATATGTAATTATTATAACATATTTAATAGTTTCTAGCTAATTACACTACACTTCTCTACATTATGAACTCAGCCTAATAAATAATAAATCATTTATTAATATTACCTGATTGATTTTCATCATCCTGCCTCATTTCTTCTCTTTGCTTGGCTTGTATTTTTCTTTTCGTCCTAGCTTGCCCATTTTCTCTGAAAGCTTTTGCGAATGGGTTGTAGTTGATTTTTAGTTCTGTGATTTTCTCATTCTGGAAATGAATATAGACTTTATTAACTTTTATCTATACTGAAATTAACTTATATACTCTTCTATTGTTAATTACCCAATTATATTTTAAAGCTAATAATAAATTCAAGTTTCTTGGCATACAGCATTTTAAAATATATATATATATATATATATATATTTAGTATTAGTGGCTATGAATAAAAATTAAGTTTGTTTAACTCACTTAAACATGATGTATCATATAATTTGTTTCATTTCAGCCAATTAATTTTAAAACAATTTTATGTAAATATACATTTAATAAAAGATATTTCAAGTTTTTTTTTTTTTGAATAACTAAAAGCTAAATTTCCAATTATTAAGTAGACATAGAAAAATATTAATTTGAGAAGTTATCTTAATATTTTTGAATGTCATAAAAGTATCTTTTATTTTTGATAACTAACTAAATTGTGGTTTAGTACCTGATAAGCTGTCACAGCGACAAACTCTGTTTCTGGAAAGGTGAAGGTGGCACTTGGACTCCAATCCAGAGCTAGGATGTCTGAAGCTTTCACAATGTGTATATAGGGTTGGTACTTGTGCATTGAAGTTAATACAAGCTGAAATTAAAGTAAATATTTAAAAATAAATTCTCTATAAATATCAAAATATAAATTATTTATTGTTAAGAATAATAAAATTGAAAACGTATTTAAGAGTAAATCAATTGGCAGATGCTATAGTTAATGTAGATTCCTAAAGATTAATCATAGAATCAGAGTATTTTATTTAATTGACTCTATTTGTGGTGAAGTGCTTTAATCCATAATAAACTGTTAAATCTTTATTTACTCCAACTATTACACAACCATTTATCAACTTGAAAATAGCATGAAACATATATCAGTGAGAATAAATTCGTAAGCAAAGTAAGTAATATAATGTTAAAAGGGTTCTCAACACTATAAAGAAATTGCAATATGCTATCAGCAATACTTTTGTTTTCACTAAAAAAAAAATACAAAAATTACTAGTGAGTTCCTTTTGTATGTAGACTAACTACCTTATCTATTTTAACTAAAACTTAGGTAAGTCTAACAGAAATGAAAATCATTAGTGAAAAGAAGATTAAAAAATAAATAGAATTTCATCTTATTTTGTATCACTCAATAAAACAATACTGGATCAGTTTCATAATGAGAACACTTTCACAATTTTATTTGAAGAAATAAGATTTTTTTTTTCTATTTTATGAATTTATTAATGCCCTTCAATGTGGCAGAATGTATTAATATTCAATAAAGAAAGTTAGAAAAAAAAAAATTTATGAATTTGAAAATTGATTTCAGATATTTATTAAGTATTGTAGTTGAACCAACAAGTTAAATATTCACTCCTGAATCAAAACGTTATTTAAAGTATTGGTTATTTGTTGCTTAATTGATAATTTAATCGATTGTTCTTTACACAATGAGTTGATATTTTGGGTTGTGAAATGTTAGGCGTTTTTTTCCCCTGTCTACACTAATGATAAATAAGAAAATAATAAAGATGTGTATGTTTCGCTGATACTTAAATTTAGCATAAGAATATAAGAACAGAATATTTCAGAAGTTTCGAACAGATTAGTACATCACAGGCGGGACAGCAGTTGATCTTTCATTTGCACCGTGGAGAAGAGTAATTCTCGGAAGACAGAAGCAAGCTTAAACGATTTCCTTTCAGAGGCATTCAGGTAACTCAGGTTTTCCGGATGTACAACTTATTTTTTTTTACAAGCCCAAGATAAAAAAAAAGGAATAAAAAAAACAAAAGGGGTCAGAGTACTGCGGTGACTGTGCGAACTAATTTTCAAGACCACCCATTCTGATGATAAGTGGTCCAAACGAGACTCATTTAAGAATTATACGCTTGCCATCAAAACGACAAAACACCACGATATGCTTATTAAGGATTCGTATTCGATCAATTTAAAAATAATGGCAAACCATAATGAATTTCGGTGATATTTAAAAATATTGAACTGGTCCTGTTATATCATGTTTTAATTATTAATAAACTATTCTAAAAAATAAACGACTTTTTTTGTTACAAATGCAGTTTTGAGTACGATCGATATTCAAAAATAAAAAATAGTGATATTTTTGAAATGTAACTACGGAAAACATAGCTATCTAACTTAACTAACAGCGGCATTGTTGCTAAACGAAACTATTTATTTATTTTTTTCCTCTTAAAACCGACAGGACATGGAAAATATCAAAAACAAGAAACAAAAGACTATCTTAGTGAAATATCCATTTATATATTCATTTGTTCCATACTTTGTGAAATTTCTAAACGTACCTTGAATTATCATCATCATCATAGTCATATTCCTCTTTACCGCCTATGCAGTGTGAGGCACTAGCGGATCCAGGATTTAATTTTGGGGGGGGCTTCAGCCCGAAAGCTTTTTTTTCATAAAAATAACGATAATTGCTTTAGAAAAAAAGAAAGAAACTAACAACCTGTATGAAATGGTGTTTAAGTGATTCCTAAAGCCCTTTTAATATTAATCACACGAAAAATAATACTTTAAGAGATACTTTTTAATATTTTTTTCGATAAAACGTGGTTATATTTTACCATTTTGGGGGGGGGGCTTCAGCCCGAAAGCCTCCCCCCCGTAGATCCGCCCGTGGTGTGAGGTTTCTTCTTGTAGAGCTTGGACCAGGTGGACCTTTCCAGTACCAGCTCTCGTCTCCTGTTCCATTCCAAACCTCGCTTCTGGAATGCATCTCGCATGCCTTCTTCTCAGGAGATTCTAGGTCTTCCTCTTGGTCTCCTACCCTGCATGCAGTCTCAAAGGTCTTACGTGCGACTCTGTTCCGGTCCATACGGAGAAGCTGCCCAAACTATCTCAACTTGTGTTCTTCTATAATGGTTGTAGTTCTTCTATAATGGTGTTCTTCTAGTGGCGCGGATTGTAGTATTGCGAATTCTGTCTCGTCTAGTCTTTTCCTCCACCTTTCGCAGGTATCGCATGTCTAGAGCCTGGATCTGGCTCCTGTGTTTCGAAGTAAGTGTCCAGGACTCGGAAGAATACGTCAGCATAGGAAGGAATACTGATCTGTAGACCGTCATCTTCGTTTCCTTGGTCACCTCTTTTCGGTCATCCGCAAACGCCAGCAGAGAATATAGAGTAGGCTGCATATCTCTGTGACCCAACTGAAAACTTCGCATCTTCTGTTTTGCTTTTCCCAGCGCCAGGTCGAGAACCAGTACGAAAAGAAGCGGACTCAGGCTAGAACCCTTTCGTATGCCCAGTGTTGTTTTGAACTCTCGAGAGGTATGGTTTCTTGTTCTAACAAGATTCCTCGTATTTCCGTATAAACTGCTTACGGCCCTTATAAGTCCATTATTTATACCTTTTTCCTCTAAAGCCTCAATTATATCCTTTTTCCTAATCCGGTCAATGGCTTTGCAGAGATTTACAAAGCACACTGAGTTCCTTACCCCTCTCGACAATCTTCTCTGTGATTTGTCGCATAGTGAAAACTAGATCCTGTGTGCTTCTTTGACTCCTGCATGCTCCTCTCCAATCTTGGATTCTACGGTGCTTCTGACCCTTGCCTCTAGGATTTTTGAGTATATTTTACTGGGAACACTAAGGAGCGAAATGCCTCGATGATTGTTGCAGTCCCTGTTGTTCCCCTTCTTATATATTGGCACTATGGCTGCGACTTCCCAGTTCTTCAGGATCTTCTTCTGTTTCCAGATCAGGTTCACAAGATGGAGAAACATTTCCTGGCCTTTACTTCCCATAAACCTCATCATTTCCGGAGTGATTCGGTCCAGTCCCGCCGACTTGCCGAGTTTTATCTTGGCGATGGATTCCAGCAATTCTTCTTCATCAATGTAGTCGTCCTCTTCTAAGGAATCCTCCTCTACAACCTGGATCTCGTTTAGGTTCCAATCTGTTCCTTTCAGTAGCTCTTTAAAATACTCTCTCCACCTCTCCATTATCTCCTCATCCCGCCAGACAATGTTCCCATCTTTGACAATGTTGATTGCTTTGAAGAATAGTTTTTGGTTTTCTTTTGCGTTTTCTTCAAGTTTGAGCCCCAGATCGGCCACGATTTCCTCTTGGCTAGAAGTACTTTACTTTTTGTTTCATTTCTCTTTTCTTTGTACTTTTGGTGAGCAATGGGTGTTCTTTGGCTCATAAAGTCTTTCCAAGCTGCTTTCTCCTCCTTAACAGCTCTCTTTACATCCCCTGTCCACCAAGCAGTTCGCTTGAAATTTGACCTAATGCTCTTCTGACCACAGACGAGTCTCGCGGCATCAAGAATGATATTTCTAAATGCTGTCCAGCTCTCCTCAATATCATCGCTATCCCATGATTGGTAGATATCTCGTGACATCTTTTCCACTTCCTCCTGATAGTATTGGGCCATTTCATCCTCCTTCAGCCTGTAAGATTTAATCGTTTTGTTCTTCCTACCTACACATCTGCTCCCCATTTTACTCTCATTCCAAACTTTGTCAAGCACTAACAGGTAATGGTCACTGCCTATTTCTAAGCCCCTCTTCACTCTGGCATCTTGTACATTTATGAATTCTTCCCTCTTAACCAGTATATAATCGATGATCGACCTTTCGTTCCTGCTGGGTTCCTCTCTAGTATATTTATGTTTTTTTACCTTGAAATATAATTGTTAAAATGTAGAGTTGTAAGTGTATAAATAAGCTATAGACTTATCAGATTCAAGAAATGATTCAATTGCATTTATTACTGTGGAGTTTATTCTCCTTCCAAAAAATACTAAGAATATTTTGGAGTAACGTTAAACACATTAGCTAAGCATTTCTAAGCACTTTAGCTAAGCATTTATCTACAATTTAATTTGGATAAAGTTTATATATATTCTAAAATTGCTGCAACCTCATTTTTATTTTTCCAGAAGTGGAGTTATTGGAAAATAGTCACTACTGTTAAAAGCTCAAATATTGTTATTATTATTATTAAGACTAAGCAGGTACCTACATTTTCAATCTTCCAAGTTTAAACTCTTCGTTATTTAGTTCGATTCTAGAGAGAACCAGTTATTTTCATGTATTTTATTTTGAAATATTAAAATGAAGTAACATTTCTGCTACCTTGTACTAAATGTTTTTATTAATTGTGCAAACGATGTATAACTATGAGCAATATCGACTCAGAAGAATAAACGACACTTACATTTCCAGACCTATCTAGCGTATTGTTGGTGAGTTTGGCTTTCTGGAAGAGGATATCCTGGGCCATCCATGCGGATCCTGGGGAAGGAGAGTCGGGGTGGATGTAGATCCTGGTGGACGGATGAGGCTGAGGATCTGCAGGACCTATCCCGGACCATGTCCCTGCGCTGAACTTGTACCGCTTTCCTTCTGACAGCCTCGTCTCCAGAATGAGGAAGTAACGGGTGTCCGGTTCCAGTCCGGAGATTGATATCCTCAGCGAAGGGAACATCCTCCTGGAAGGAAATAGAGATATTAAAAACAGGTAAGGCACTAGTTATCTTAAACAACATCATTTCAAACATTGAACTGGCCAAGCAACTCCCTTATTATAGAAATATTAAACAAATGGTGGGAGATTAGAAAAAAATCAATGAGTGTGATCTTTGTCTGGGTTCCATCCCATAGTGGCATGATGAAAAAGCAGACCAAGCTGCTCAAACAGCAAGGAAGAGAGAGGTATCAGGCATAACACCAATAAATTACATCACCCTTGAAGATTGGGTGCACGAGACAAAAGAAAAGATATTAAAAAATTGGAAAGACCAATGGAAAATAAAACGAGGCAAATTATCAGACATAAAAACCGAGTGCAACAAATGAACCACAAGCTCCAGAAAATCGAGAAAGGAAGAAATAATTTTGTGCCGAATGCGAATTGGACACTGTCTTTTTAAACACGGGTACCTTCTCAGAGGTCTAGAAGCGCCCACCTGCAAAAAATGTGTCAACACACCTCAAACAGTTAAACACTTATTACTAGAGTGTCCCCAATACGAAAAATGAGACAAAAATTAAAGTCGTCAACGACATTGAAAAATATTTTGGGTGACAGGGAAGAAGATGTCGTCATTAACTTTTAATCATTGAAACAAAATATTACAAAAGAATATAAAAATTAAGGATCATTGCCAATGACCCTCTAGTGTAGAGGAAAAGACAAATAAAATAAAAATAAATAAATAAACATCGAACTAAATATATAATTTTTTGTATTATAGTCAATTTGAAAACTTGATTCTAATATTAATGGAAATGGCGCAAATACGTGAGTTGAAAGATTTTTAAAAAATGATAAAACATAAAATCACATTCAAAACAAAAATATCCTATTCACAACTATCAATACAACCCTTTTTTTAAATATCAATCAAAAATTAACAAAAAGTTTTTATTCTGTTATGGAAATCAATCTTTATATATTAGATTTATGAGGTTCCCAACTTCTGTCTTTGTTCGTTTTCGTTTTTTTTGTTTTTTTTTGCAAACGATACACAATATTTTAGTTTTACTACAATACATTAATGTAGTATTTTTATGTATTTCAATTTGTATGAGAATAATTAGTCATTTCATTACAGATAAGAATAGAATGGTAGAACAGCATGGTAGCATATATTTTAGTTCGTAGTATTATCTATTAATAGTTTGACAATCAACGGAACTTAATTTTATTTATTTTTTTCCTTTCCGAGAATTGCACTGTTGGTCCTATTCATATATGACAGATGATAGCCATGGGAGATAATAACATCATCAATGCAAGACAATGGATGCGTACAATGTTTATTCAGGTATTACCGGCGAAGTCATTTGCGACGGACTTTTTATTTTATTTTTTCTGCTTGTTGGGAGCTGAGACAAATAAAAACCAAAGGCGGGAGCGGTGTTTAGAGGCGATGAGGGCTAGGGAACGACTATAAAAAAGAAAAAAAGGAACGGTTTGGAGAGAGGCCTAGAAAGAGATAAAGACTTCAGGGCTTTAATAGGCGGGATAAATCAGCTGTGTTGGAGGCCCGGGGGGGGACACATGTTGAAGGGCTCGTTACTGAGGTAACAAGACCACCCAGTGCTGAGAGGTAGGTAGAGCCGCTATAATTGATACATAGAGGTAGGGAGTCCACCTGCCGCATTAGCCCCTAAAACAAACTGGCTCCAGCCACCTAATGTGTATAATCATCTTCTCCTCTGTCAATACAGCCTCATATATAATTCCCCGGCTCGCCCTAGCACCTCGTCTAGCCAAATCACTTATTTACCGGCCTTATCAATTTTTTTAAATCTTAGTACTTGTTCAAAGTACGTGGTCTATGCATCTGATAATGCATGTGTAAACGAATTTTAACGTGTTAAATTTTCACCTGGATAAACGTCAAACTAGATATCCACATAGTGAAACTACAATAAACCGCTCGATGTTTCTGGCTATCTCAGTACTTATAGTCCGTGGTGCAGACCCCTTTTATTATATATATTGATATAACAGAACAAATAATTATCTGTGTCGGATTTTCTCTGTATTACAATAATTATCTCTGTGATAACCTACAGTCGGACTCAGCTGAATATTTTTTTAAATAATAAAAACCATTATAATCCATGGAACAGACACCTTTTTATCAAATTATTAACATCCGCCTGAAACCTCATAAATAACTTCATCTCATCGTAACCTACAACTATTTCATTTACGAACATTCTCGTAATCGGGGCGTTTTCAATGCATGCGACGAACTTTGTCTATTTAATTGGGTTCTAAAAACTAGTAAATACCCATTTGCTTTTCCCTTGAATCATAACACAAATCAATAAAAAAGGTGGCCTACAAAAATATTGGGCTGCTTGGCCTATGCAATTGTTATTTTGACAATTCGGGGGTTTAAGTGACGCCAAACGGCTCAATAATTTTCAACGCCACCTTTTTTCCCGACTTTGTACTCAAGTTATCTTACGATTCAAGTGAAAATGAAATGGGTATTTACGGGGTTTTAGTACCCAATTAAATAGACAATGTTTGGTGACCTTCAGATTGAAAACGTCTCAATTCCTAGAATTTTCATAAATATAATATTTGTAGGTTACGATGAGAGGAAGTTATTTACGGCGTTTCAGCCGGATGTTAATAATTTGATAAAAAGGGACTATTATCACGGGCTATTACTAGACACACTCTAAGGTTCCAATTAATTAAAAAAGACTCATATACATGACTATAATTAGGCTTATTTGAACTTACGGAGTTGAGATATGGGATTCTACCAAAACACCTCCCCTATTCAATCCTTGCAATATAAAATCTTTCGTAAATTCCTCAATGCTCTTTACTTTATCACTAATAACTACATTAATGTGCCATATGTTCCAGATCTGGCCCAATCTAGATACCTATCATTCTATAATAAACTTCATAACCATCCGAATCCTATAATTTCTTAAATTGATTGTTCTCCGATCCTTAATAATCCTTCGAGGCGTCTGAAAAGAAGATGGGCTCATGACCTTCCAATGTAGAAATTTTATAAGATGTAAATAACCAATGGGTAGTTTCTCTACAAGTCTTTTCGTGTCGTTATATTTCTCTGCATCACTTTAATAGATGAGTTTTTATTTTAATACAGTTTTAAATTTCACGAATTATTTTTTTTTAAAAATATAACAATGTTTTAAATTTAAAACACGCCTTAAATCCCGAAAGCAGAAACATTTACTTATTGTGTTGAGAATTGAGGAAGGACAAACTTTCTCCTTCCTTCTAAAAGGGTTGCTGAAGGGCTAAATTTACTAAGTTTCTGGAAATAACCGTTTCCTGAAAAGTAACCTGTCTGTCACTAACGGGCCTTTATGCCATTCATCTTAGTCTTATAAATTACTGAACGTGACTGAGCGTACAATACTGATTGTCATAAATAATATGTATATTGTTATTATTATATATACATGTGTGTGTGTGTGTTCATAATTCTGCCCATGGTCAGTATAAATTTAGTGTTTCCATATAGTATATTGTTAAAAAAAAAAAAAAAAAAAAATTATTTTTTGTTGGAGGAGGCATCCCTCCTCTATTTTTCCCTGCTAGGACGGAAATTTGATATTTCTATCTTTTATCTTACAACAATGAGACCGTTGCATGACCATTTCCGCTGTTTAGTCAGTGGTTGTACAAAAATACACCCAAAATTCTTCTTTGAAATTCTGGTTTGGATTTAATAAACTGATCAGCTTTTAAGTTTTATTCTAGAACAAGACAGCTAACCATTTCCAATTTAAAAAACAAATAATTTTAGGTGTAGGATGAAATGAAGTCTTGTCGCTTTACAAGCTGTTTTTTTTTTTTGTTTTGTTTACACAAAACTATTAATTTAAAATATATGGCGTAGTGATATTATATAATTCATAATAATATTTAGTATAATTATTATACATTATAATATTTCATAGCTTTTCTTTTGAAATATTAATTATCTAAAATCATGCAATTAAAAACGAAATAAGTATTATGTTTTTATTTGTGGGCCGTAGTTTTTGTATAATTATCTATTCCCGTTATTATTCAGTGATATATTTAATCGATATACATGAAAATAAATGAAGAACTTTAAGTTTTAGGCTAAACAATTAGAACGGTTAATAATTTTTAAAAAATACATATTTCACACACAATGAATAAAACTATCTTATTTAATCCACACAAAATTTATAAATATTTATATAAAAAACTTTTTTTTTGTAATCTCATGGGTTTTCAATAATGTTGCCCAAAATCAGTTTGCAAGACCAAGACCAATGCCGCCTAACTGTTGCAAAACCAAGTAAGGCAAAATAGTAACTAATACTTGACAATCTCAGTTACTATATGTTAATAATTGGTATAAACAATATACATTTGCATTTAACTCCTCTAATTTTTCATTCGAGCTTACTTAGGTTTCATCTATCTAAAAAATTACAGTAATATCTCTATAGTAACAAGCTAATAAGTAACTGCAAGACTGTTGTGAGAATCTTGCGCAAGACCAAGACTGAGATTGCAAGACCAAGACTCGTCTCAGTCTCGCATTTGGGCAACACTAGTTTTCAAGTATTAAAAAATTAAGATTTTAAGTTAATTTTCTGAATATTTAATAAATTTTAAGGAAGACATCGGTCGCGGATGCATATAATAAAAACAATTCTATTAGGTACAGTAGTACATCAATTGCGACGATTAAAAGATAACAGGTATCAAAGAAAGGTACATCTCTTTTATTAAATGATCTTGGAAAAGTTCATATTAATTGTTATCATCCGACTTTGAGTTCATTTTGATGAAAATCTAATAAATTTTATGCAAGTTCAATGGAGGAAATAGAAGGTTATTGAATCAAATCGGAAAAAAATACTCCATCAGGAGTAGTGCAGAGTCAATTGCAACGATGAAAAGGTAACAGGTATCAAAGCGAAGTGACACAGAAGCCGT